AGGCAGACTACAGAAAACCGAATTTGTGTAGGCATATTTTTTTACCTTTCAGTGAAATTAAGAGCCATCTTTTCTTCAGATTAGATGAGCCTGAACATTAGCAGCTATTTATTACATGGGCTAAATAGATATAATTCACTCTTCTTTTATATATTGTCCCACACCTCTGTATTTTTCACCAACAGATAAATAGTGTGATGCTATACAGAAACAGGTGGCTGATGTGGAAGAAGTGGTCAGAGCCCAGGTTTCACTTTCAACAGACTAGAAGTTCTGTAGTTTCGCAGTGTGGAAACAGCCTGAATCACTCATGTCTCAAAGTGTCTTTGGTACTTGGTATTGTGGGAAGTCTTGTAGGGAATTGAATCTCAGCTTGGTGCAGTGAAAATGAGATATGATTTTCCTGCAGAAATGCCAAAGTACCTCGTTAAGTACAGCACCAGTTCCAATGCAACAGCTAGGGAACAGGTCTGCAACATGAGTAGCAGCCACATGTTTTGATCAATCTGACTGCAATGAAGACACTCTCATCCAACTGGCCAGTGGAAAGCCAGAATAAAAAAAAAAGGTTCCTCTGCTCTGCTTTGACTTTTCTCCCCATTTTTCAGAGCATTTTAGTATGCATTCTTAGGATTTTCTCCCCAGTTGGTTCTCTGTTTCAGCATTTTTCAAAGTGTTGAGAAAAAACAATACTTAAAGGTCACTAAATACCACTATTTTCTAAATCTCACCTATTCTGTTTGTCTAGAGCTAATGGGGTTATGTCCATAGACTTGCATTAATTTTCAAACATTAATCATAAATACTGAAACTTTAGGTTAGGTAAGATGTAGAATGGGGATCTGAATGTAAAGCAACCTTAAAATGGGCTTTAAAATTTTTGTTGCAAAAAAGTAATAGCCAAAGTTTAAGCTGCCAACACTTATTTCAGGTTAGTATTTCACAATACTTTCATGTCAAAATGAATGTTTCATATTTACTGGTGTGGGAAGAACATCAAGTTGGAAACCTCCCCTCTTACAGCACAATAACCCATTTCAAGTTTCTGCAATATTGTAGTTATTTATATTGTTACATTTAGTACAAGTTTGGTGAAAAATAATCCTAAATTTCTCATTATCTTAGCAATGCAGAGGCCAGGTATTACAATACATTATTAAACCATGCTTTGACAGCTTATCATATTTTGACAACCCTGAATACATGCACAAGAAAGTTGCTAAAAATCTCAGGATTTTAGATGTTTTTGCTTAAATTTACACAGTTGAGCAGTTATTACCCACCTCTATCTAACTTTAAAGGTATGCATATAGACTTTTGTATCCTTGTGCTTTCCCTGCTTTACAGTAGAATCATAAACTATTTAGAAATAGTGTATGATAGACACGTGTCTATCATATTACCCATGACAACTTGCCATCTAAACCATCCATTTTCATTACTCAAATTTCCTGGCCAACTTTCACTTCCACCTGATGTCACCATATCTAATTCACCAAACACCGTAACATTAAAACATGACAAATACTTGACAGTAGAAATTTAAAATGCTGAAGTTCAATATATCTTAGTGAGCAAAATATATTTCAAGGCTCTGTTTAGAAATATTGATGGCTTTTAAGTGTTGTAGCAATCCTGCACAGTGCAACTGTGAAATTTAATGTATTGCAAATTTCATCACAGAGTTGATTCTTACAATCAATTTGGATTTTGACATGCATGCATTGTTGAGATAAATCTAAGATTATAAAACACAATTAATGGAACATGCTTAGAGCTATGTCTGAAATGATCACACAGCATAAGTGAAGCTGCAGATGGAGTGCGGCTATTTTCAGCTGCTGCAAAATATGGACAATCTCTCCTGCTACTACAATTTCATGCACAGTTAGCTTCACCTCCATTTCATCCTTCTATGTTTTACACACCAGCAGCACTCTGCATCTGACAGACTGAGGCTTAAAACTTGCAGCTGTCTAAAGCAATACTGTTTAAGCTAGCTTCTGAATTAGTCTGAAAGTGAATATAAAATCTCTGGGAGAGGAGAAGATAACAAAATCTTTTTTTCATTTTAGCCACAGTGCAATTATGAAGTCATTAAAATATTTCACTGGACAGGTGTCAGCAGAAGTTAAGAGCAAGACAAATACTGAGTAAAAGAGTACCTCACAGCTATTTTCCGCAATGTCAATTCACAGAATACTGGACCAGTAACAAGACCAGGATTAATAAACTTCTTTCAAGGATATGAAACAGTTGAAATTTGTAAACATCTCATTTGAGGTTGCACTGATGCTACACAGCACAAAGTATTTTTAAGACTAGGCATATTTTACAGATCATTTGTGAAAAGTAGCAATGATACATAAAAATTTTCAGATACCCATGTTATCCGCTTACCTTTAATTTTAAATTTCCATTTAAAACTCAGGTGCAAGTCATGCAATAAATTGCTTTCTCTATTTCCAACACTTGCCACATATTTACAAGGAAAATTAACTTAAAATCCTAAAGTCTGTCCTGGAATTCTAATAGTTTTTAAGTCTGTTTATAGCACAGACTACCAACATGCTGCATCACATGATGGAAACAAATATCTGCTCATGTAATGAACAAGGTAGGTCATCTACTGGAATAATATTTGTTAAGATAATATTTGTGGTCATTTCTCCTGACACTAGTTTTCCACTGCCTAGTCTCCAAGTTAAAAAAAAAAATAAATCAACAAATTCAAAATATACATTTCCATTAGTAGTAGTAAGCTACATTTCTTCACATGAAGAAATTCCACCTTCTGAAATAGCATTCAAAAGACTATTAGAAACGATGCTATAATTTAGCACTCAATCATTTAACCATGATGTTAGAACAATCCAATATTTCCATTCAAACACAGAGTACAGAAAACTTGCATTCAAACACGAATATGAAAATGCATGAAAATAGTATCATAATCACTCCTACAATTCAAGGTGATACTTAACATGCTTGCTCCAAATCTCAAGTATCATTTGTATTAAATTTCTTCCAAAATGTCACAGAAGAAAAGATAAAATAATCAAGATGTACATTGAATTGTGCTACAGCAGCAAGTTGTTTGTACTTACTACAAAGCACAAGCAGAAAATGAAACTGGGTAAGCCAACACAAATAGATTAACAAAACAGCAACTTATATTATGCAATCTCTTGGTTCTTATGAATACACAACAAATTCTGGTTCACTGTGAAGGGATTTGCCAAACAACCTTGAGACCCCGTCCAGCCCTGTGCTATTTGTTCTACTACATTCAGCATGACTAAAATAAAAACTTTTGAGACTAAAAATATGTAAAGCCCAGAGGACAAAATGACATTTGATTAGTCTTACACAAAAAGTGTGATTATCCATACAGTGAAATCTAGGTCTGGCTCAGGATAATCAGAAAAAAGTCTACTGATTTAAATTATGTTTGATTCAACTTTTATTAATGCAATATTTACAATACAATCTAAGTTACATTCTTGGGTAAAATACTGATAAATTGATACAGATAGATTTTTTTTTAAAATTTTATTTTTTATTATCCTGCTTCACAAACTCTTGTGCTACATCTTATACACACTGAGGCAAAACTGTAAGAATATTACCTGAGCAAGTAAAAGCATCCGCTCCTTCCGTGAACACAGGAAGCCTTGCTGCCACCACCACAACCATTACTGGTTGTGGTACTCAACCACAGCACAGCTGGAGATTCTTTCCTATTTTTTTTCCATTCCCTTTTAGTACATTTCATTAGATTTTGTTCTGAAACTTTTCAGCTTTTGTGTGTGTACATAGATGTATAGTTATGTACATACATATATACAAAAGAAACAGAGGATTTTCTGGAGACAAGCTTTCCTTCATAATATTAATTTATGTAGGGCAGAAAAAGTCTTAGATATCAAGTCCCATACGGATTGTACTAAAATATTACTGCAAGCATTCTTTTTATGAAACAGCACAGCTTACAGTCTTCCTTTAATAGTCTCTCAATATTAAGGAACTACTAATTATTAATTCTCTGCAAACCTCGAACAACTGCTTCTTGATATTTAATATATTGTACCTAACACAGTAATCAATGATTTCATTAAAAAAGCTGTCTGCCTACAATTTTTAACATTATGCTGAATTTAATTGACAGGAGAATCCTGCTACATTTACTCATTAATTCCATGTTGTCAGTTATTTAGCTCTCTCATAGCCATTAAAAATAATTTCCGTATCTCCTCTTGTCCTTGAAATCTCTACTTTTCTGATAATTGATTGGTCTTCAATGTATTCTAGGGTACTCTTAATTTACAACATATTTGAAAGCATGTATTCTTTTCAAGAGCTCTGTAAAAATTCTTCCTTGCTGATGTGCCTTAAGCAAGACAGGTATTGTTTATTAGAGATTAAAGAAAGGTTTTGCCTTAGCCTAACTGATTGAAGCACAGCATGGGCTCTGAGCAAGATCATTTCCATTATCTCTAGCTGCTAGAACCTAGATGTTACTATTGCTGTAGAACGAAGTTGCGCAGCCCTGCTTCTGTCAGGTTCGTGCCACTTCAGCAGTGGACCTGAAGGCTGCACCAGCCTTTTGCTCCTTGGAGCTGAACTGAACTATCCTGGCCGTTACACTTCAGGCCAACCACCAAGCAATAGCTGCAATCAAAAACACCAGTCTTTTTATCCTCTTTTTGCCCTCTTCAAATCTCATACACCTTTCAATGTAAAGAAGCTGGACGTAGCTCCCATCAGTCACTTCATGCTGCCACAGAAACAAAAGTTCCTCTGCTCATACAGGGGCACTATTTTAGAGCAGTATGACAAGTCTGCAAATCTAAACCCTACGTATATTCGACTATCAAGAAAAGTTGCATTTTCCTCTTGAGATTACAATCCAGATTCTCATCTATTTTTAAACGAAAAAGTTTAATAAACATAACATAAAGCATTAAATTAGTCCACAAAGGATTTGGTCCCAAACCCACCTTTCTAGTTTCCAGTTGAGCTTCTTCTTGGCAGCACTGCCTGCAGAACGGATCCAACTGATTCAGATTGAACTGTCCAAGAAGGTTGCAAGAACTGCATAGCAAGTTACTGGAGAAGCCCAGCTCTCTGCAAGCTTCGGATGACAACTGTGCTCCATACGCACTTATCTGAAAAATCAATGCAATGTTATGCTTTAGTATTAAATTTGTTGTTTAAAAAAGGAAGATTTTAAATGCTTTAATGATTAGGGAAATCAACTAAGTCTCTTGTGACCATTTTACCGTAATGCCTAATGGTCTGCCCATAAGTGCAAACAACCATCTGATTTTGAAGAATGCTCTTCAAGTAACAGTGAATTCTAGACACTCATAATATGTATATTTCAAGGTATGAGATCTACCAAAATTGATTTATATACACTTCTGACAACTCTACTGTTTTCCTACTGCCAGCTCCAAATTAAGGAAAAAAACCATCCCATAATGAATCAGCTGAAACGTACGTGACTACAGCTCTCTAAAGCCTGCTCTTTCAAACAAAATTCAGTAGATTTCATATTATGAAAAACACACTTGGAAAATAAGGATAACAGCTCAGCTTGGGAAAAACACAACCAGGGAGTGATGAAATGGACCAAACTGCTCAACAAGGCATACAGGTAGGACTTTCATTTCATGTTTGCATTAATGTTACAGGAAAATTGCATACTAAAAGTGGAAGTGTAGACAAAAATCTGCAATTATGATTTACTAGTAATATGTTAAAATAGGCAACTCAATTATATGGCTTCTATATAAAACACCAGTTCTGTTCTTAATGAGCAGTGAACCCAATTTTATCAATTATCCCAACACTTAAATGATATTTGGGGTTTGTTTTCACATTCCCACTTCCCTACACAGGGATTTCTAATACCTTAGTTTAAAATCCTTCCTGCCAGCTGTATGCTGGGAGGGAGGGGGAAGTGAGAGATGGAATTAAGAAAGGAGACAGTTTTCCCAGATGCTTCTCAGTCTGAATGAAAGATCTTGGGCAAAACCCATAACATCTAAACCACCCACAAAACAATCAGCAAGCATCTCTGTGTTCAGAGAAGAGTGAGATAATACCAGCAAACCAGACTGGATGATAACAGACCAAGTGTCAGAAGAATTATGCTGGGCCAAACAGAAAAATACAGAAGAAAAACTAAGTTTGTCCTTTAGCAAATCAGACTTCTCTTCATATTCACCCATCACTTAGTATATATAGCATATCCAAGTAAGCTACAGACAAAACCCATTTCCTCCCCCGTAGTGGCCAACCTATAGCTAAAGACATGTTACTGATGTGACAGATAGGAAGTGTTATGGATTAGGAATTGGTAGAAAATATATTAGCTGCCTCATTATTCTGTTTCTCTGTATCTTCTAAGAAAAAAAAAGTTAATGCATGCACAAAAAAGTATAATATATGGAAAATTATTTTGAAATTACTATTCTGTCAGGCAGAAAGCTATTTTTCTTCTTTCTACAGGACACAAAGTAATTTCTACATATGAGAGCAGGCAAGCAAATGGGACCCTATTCTACTGGAACAATCTATTATATATCCTTTCTAAGGGATACTGGCAATAAAAAATAGAAAACCACCACGGTAGTAGAGAAAATGCCAAACACTACCAAAGCTACATTTTAATTACTTTTCACTTATTAAATAAATGATGATGACAGTAACTAAAACAGTTTTTTTGCACTTTGCTGCTTGCTATCCACCCCTTTTCTGCTTCTTCTGTCACCTTCTCCTCCCTTTTGAATTTGTTCACCTGGGAGCAAAAATGGTATTACTGGCATCGTCATTGTGCTTCCATCAGCAACACTCCTCACGCCTTTTCCCAGCAGAGCTCTAGAGCACCTGCATATATAAGTCAAATACTCTCCTGGTTATTTTTTTGGAGGACCAACCAAAAAAATAACCAAACATACCACCGTATGAAAACAAGTAAAGTCCCCACTACAAGAGAATTCCTCCATGAGGAAGTTCTGGTTACACAGCAAACTCAAAACAGCTTAAGAATAAAACAATAAGGAGGGAGAGGATGGGAAGAGGAAGAAACTAGCTCTCTCTAGGATTTTTCCTCAATTTTTAGTATCATAACTACTGTACTATCTTAATTAATAAGTATACTAATTATACTAAATATCTCTGTCTAGGATTAGAAAAGAACCCTCGCATTTCAGAAGCTAGTTTCCCATCAGGACAAGATAACTTCAGCTACTTAGCTGGTGATGCGCCTCATTTCGGCAGCATGCTCTCCTTTAAAGCTTTAACTACAAATACACATTATATGACTCCTTTACTTTCACATTAGATAATTCAATACATTAAAGCAAATACAGCATCGATACAAATTGCTTAAGGAAGTACTTCATAGTTACTAGAGTGAAACATTAGAGCAGGCCTTTTGTATATCCTCATGTCTCTAGAACTCGGGTGGGTCAGAACTTTAAGAGCAGTGAAAGCTGACCTGTCTGGAAAACAGCCGCCTCTCACAGGACAACCCTCCGCTAGAAATCAAAGCCACCGAGCTTCGCTTTCCAAACCCATTCTTCAGCTTTGTTACTAAAGGATAATCTGGGTCATGAGGTTTATCACAAGACACAAATCCCATTAAAAACGGGGGGGGGGGAAACCTGCACATTTATCTCAAGAGTCACCGCGACGCTCGCAGCGATCGCGCCGTTTCCCGAGCTAATCGGGCAAAGCGGGGCGAGGGGCGAGTTTAGGGGCATTTAGGCTTCAAAGCGCGGCTCCCGCAGTCTGGAGGAGCAGAGGCAGCAACAGCAGGAAGGAAGAAGGCAGAAGCAGAGAACAGCCTCCGACAGAGAGGAAAAGCGGCGGCCGCGGAGGCAGGAGAGGGACGCGGCACGGGACGGCGCCTCGGGGATGGGCTGGGCTGGGTCGGGCCCGCTGCCTCCGCCTCCCGCTGTGGGACACGTCTCGCTCCCGCCCCACCCCCCCATTACACCCTCTCTTTCTCTCAGGAGCTCGCAGCCGAGCTCAGCACCGAGCGCGAATACGGCGGAACGGCCTCTCACCGCCTGCAGCCCCACCAGCAGCCAGAACCAGCAGCGCCCCGCGGCAGTCAGCTCCGCGGCCGCCGCCATCTTGGTGCCGGAACGCTCCTGCCAGCGTCGCCCGGAGGCTGCTGGAGGACCTCAGCCGTCGCGGGTGCCTCAGACACTGCCTGATGCGGGAGAGGGCGGACTCAGCCCCAACCCCCGGCACCACAAGCAGAATCAGCTAACTCGGAACCTGTGTGGAAAGTCTACAGCAAAACTATTTTAGTGCGTTTAGAGGAGCGCTTCGCAGCGAGGACAGGAAGAGATGCTGTTCCCCAGCCTTAGTCAGGCACGACGGGAACTACCCTAAGTAAGGTCCTTTCCTGTCCCGCAGAATTGCTGCCAACCGGCACACAGGCCCCTCCGCCCGGCGATTGACAGCCAGTCTGAGCAATACTATTGTCTCTTCCCAAGTACCGGGGTGCCTGTGCCCAATGAGAGTGGGGAGGTGGGCGGGACTTCAAGAAGGGCCTCCCAATCAGGAAGGGTCGCATGTAGGCGGGACATCGCCTCGGTCCGGCAGCGCGGAGCCGAGCGGGGGAGGAGGAGTCAACGCCCTGTGGGCGGGGCGCCGCCTGAGCGGGGCCAATCCGGTTGCGGGAGATGCGAGGTGGCGGTAGCACCGCCCAATGGCGGAGGGCGCGGGGGCGGGTCCCGCCGCCGGGAATCGGCGGCGGCGGCG